GAAAATAAATGTCAACTCAGATTCCTATATCTTGCAAAATCAGCTGTCAAAACTAAGTAAAACTTTCCATGATAAATGCTAATGAAATACATAATCACTGAACCACCATTACAGAAAACTCAAGGGAATTCTAGACAGAGATAGGAGGCCACTAGCACCAAAGAGCCCAAAGGAAAGTACGCACCTAACTGGAAGAGTAGTTAAACAAAAGGAAAAACAAAATAAAACAAAGGAATCGGTACTGGAAAATTAATGTAATGACAGGATTCAATAAGCACCTTACAATAATAACTCTCAATGTCAATGGTCTTAGTTAGCTCCCCAGTCAAAAGACAGACTGGCAGAATGGATCAAAAAACAAAATGTAAAAAAAACCAAAATGTAACTGTGTATGTCGCTTATAGGAGACACATGCCATCCCAAAGGAAGTACAGAGAGTCAGGGTGAAAGAACGGAAAACGATACTCCATGCAACCCGAGCTCAAAAGCAAGCAAGAGGAGCTATCTTATTTTCAGACACAGCAGACATCAAGCCAAAACTGATCAGAAGCGACAGATGGTTGCTACATAGTGGCAAAGGAACAATTCAACAGGAAGAGATAACAATTATAAAAATCTATGCACCAAACAACAGTGCACTCAACTTCAAGAAACAATAACAACTAGACATAAAAGAACAGGTAGATTCCAAAACAATCATACTTCAACATCCCACTCTTAGTTCAACCAGAAAAAAATATATATATATATATAAATATCAGAGTTAAACCATAACATGGAACAAATGGACTGAACGAATATCTACAGAGTGTTTCATCTAACAACAGAATACACATTTTTCTCAGTGGCACACAGAGCTTTTTCCAAAACAGACCATATCTTAGGCCATAAAGCATGCCTAGACAAATACAAGAACTGAAATAATCAATAGCACATTATTGGATCATAGTGGAATGAAGCTAGAAATCAACAGCAAAAGAAACCAAGGAAAGTACATAAACACATGGAGATTAAACAATAGATTACTGGATAATCAATGGATCTCACAAAGTATCAAGGAAGAAGTAAACAAAGTTCCTAGAGTAAAATGCCAGTGGAAACATTATACTACAATGATACATACATATTTTATAGCAGCAAATTCACAATAGCTAACTCTTGGAAATGGCCTATATGTCCAAGAGAAGAATGGATTTAAAAAATGGTATACATATACAATGCAGTCCTACTCAGTCATGATGATAGGGAAATGTTTTAGACAGCTCAGTAGATTAAATATTAAAGTAACTGCAGAAGCAAAATAGGTAATGTATCCCTTTAAGACTTGCTTTTTCCCTTTGCTCTTGTTGTGTGTTTTTTTTTTTGGTACCGGGGATCGAACTCCGGTCCTTGTACTTGAGAGGCAGGTGGCGGAACCACTGAGCTAAATAAATCCCCAGGCCTGCTCTTGTTGTTTAAAGTGAAGGTTATATGACTCTTTGATCTGTAGCTTTACTATAGATAACATCTTAACTCTGAAAACAAAGTTGCAATGCTTGGGCAAATTTGTAATATATGTTTTAACTGTCATGTGCTTATGGCTGTAACCATTAACAGAAACCACTTGTGTTTAACCCATTAAATGGGAACTGGAATTTTTACTTACTCAACAAAGACTAGGGATAAGATAATGACCAAAAAGGGTATAAAAGGGAAAGCAGAACAAGCATAGTTGAGGACACTGACCAGACCAGATTCTGGTGGTCCTGCCTGCTTGCAAGCAAACTTTTATTATTTTACCCGAATTCTGTATCTCCGTGTATTTCTTTCTGTGAATTCTGGAACAATGAGAAGAATAAATTTGAGTCATTTGTAAAAACAAAAGGGGGGGTTGCACGCACCTTGAGATCATAATGCTAAGTGAAACAAATCAGACACCGAAGGTTAAAATCACATGGTTTCTTTTACTTGAAAAACCCAAAGTTATAAATAACTTAAAGAGCAAAATAAAAGATAATAGGAAAAAAAGGAGTTAGATAATTTGCAGATGGGAAAGGACTCTAGAGCTGGAGGGAGAGGAAAGGGAGAAGAGGAAGTAAAAAGGACTGAGATGTGGTATGTATATATACAAACTCCCCGTGATAAATGTATTCATTATGTTTTGTAAATATATACTAATAAAAAAAGAGAAAAAAAGGAAAAACTATAAACACATAAATATAGCACTGTTTATAAATAATAAAATTTGGAAACAATTAAAATGTACATCACTTGGAGACTGGAAAAACACAATAGAATACCATGCAAATGTTAAAAAGATGAGGATAGCTATAAATTTTATCAACAAAGTAAAAAACATTAAATAAAAAATAAGAAAGGGGCCAGGGAGCACAAGGTCCTGAGTTCGATTCCCATACCAAAAAAGAGGATAAAGAACGGTATCTGTAATATAATCCTTTCATTATGTAAGTGTGGCGTGGTGGCACACATCTGCAGACCTATCTACTGCTCAGGAGGCTGAGGCAGGAGGATTGCCAGTTTGAGGCCAGCCTAGGCTACATAGCAAGACCCTATCTCAAAAACAAAAAACGAAACAAACCAAAAAAAGAAACAGTGTTTTAACATGGACCTAGGTGCTGGGCCTGCAGAGGCCCTACTGGTAACTAAAAGCAGGATGAACTATGCATCTCTGCCCTCATTTTTTTTTTTTTTTTTTTAATCTGTCTCATCTTAAAACTTCATTTCAGAGCTCTGCTCAGGTCTTCACATAGACATATTAGTCACTGAAGGAGTTTCTGAATTACAAGGTTCACTAGATCTAAATTTACCTAGCCCAGTGGTGGCAAATCTATGGCACGCATCCCACAATGGGCATGTAGAACTCTCCCTTTTGGCACGCAAGCCAAGTCGCCCCAGCAGCCAAACATCAGATATTAAGGTTTAAGTGCACTGTTGGGACTTTGAATAAATAAGCAGGTTTCTACGGGTTGCAGTTTAGGCATTTGTCTTTAAAAGGTTTGTCATCACTGACCTAGCTTATATCATCCCCCTTCAAGACTGAGGACACTAAGGCCGGGGATTTGGCTCAGTGGTTCCTCCACCTGCCTCCCAAGTGCAAGGTCCTGAGTTAGATCCCCAATACCAAAAAAAAAAAAAAAAAAAGACCGAGGACACCAACAACCAAGTAAGTTAAATTTTCAGGATTTGTAAAGAAATCCAACTGCCAGCTCTTGCAATGTCCAGTTCCTAAAAGTTTCCAGTCATTGTCCTAAACCTGCAGTCACCTTGGGTTCCAAGAAAAGCAGAGCCTCACAGACCACCCCATGGTGAGGTCACCCCCTGCAAGTAGGAGAAATTACATCACAACAGGAACCAAAACTGTCCCCCACCCCACTGCCCACTAGCAGGAGCTGTCATCTCATTAATGCCAGGGATGACGGCCCTCCAAGAACCTTGCAAAACCAGTCCTGAGATACCAATCCAACAACCAGACCACACTCTGATCGGGAGTGCCCATGATGCCAGCCATGCCAACCTCCCTTTGTTCCTTTTCCCATTAAGCCCCAAAGCTTTTGTCAGCCCCTCAAAGACAGATATGGAGCCTCCATCTGTGCTTCCCAGCATGGCCATGCTGACTGTAGCTCCTTTCCTGCCCTCTGCCATTGCTTGTCTCCTCTACTGGTGCTTTGGGACGCTTGGCAAGCCTCGTCTACTGGGTCCCCAGTGACTGGGGCTTTTGCTCTTAAAACTCTAGCAAGAGTCTTAACATAATTTGATTTTTTTTAACAATAAGCTTATATAAATTTATAAGTAGAAAAAATTATTTTTCTTTTTTTGCCAACAATAAAAAAAATCCCAAACAGCTTTTACCTTTAAAATGAAATAAAGTATTTCTTTTTTTTTTTTTGGTACTGGGGATTGAACTTGGGTCCTTGACCTTGCAAGGCAGGCAGCGGAACCACAGCTAAATCCCTGGCCCATAAAGTATTTCTTTTTCTTTCTTTTGTTTTTTTTTTTTTGGTACTGGGGATCGAACTCGAAGTATTTCTTTTATACTAAATCTTAAGTTATATTAGCCAGCTCTCTTTTTCTTTCTTTTTTTTTTTTTGGTACCAGGGATCGAACTCAGGTCCTTCCGCTTACAAGGCAGGCGGCGGAACCACTGAGCTAAATCCCCAGCCCCAGCTCTCTTTTTCTTACTACTCAGTCTCAACACTCCTAGTATCTGGAGAAGGTTTATTACCCTTCAGCTCAAGGGTAATATTTTTAGCTCTTGATCTTCTTTGGCTTTTTAATCTTCCCTAGTTGTATGTCAGCTATTTATATTGTAGAACAGGAACTAACGGCTAATTTTGTTTTACAAGCAACATTAAAATAACAACAAAAGTGTGAATATATACATTTGAATATGTGGAAATACAAAACTAATGTATGAAGGCTTAGAAAAGTAGGATAGTAAATTTGGTCCAAATTTAATCAGTTGCAATAACCAATTTTATTTATTTATTTTTTGGGACCAGGGATCGAACTTGGGACCTTCCGGTTTCGAGGCAGGCAGTGGAACCACTGAGCTAAATCCCCGGCCCAATAACCAATTTTACATATCGAGTATAGGTGATTTTTTAAAGTCTCAAAACATTTTTTAAAAAACAACACTTTTTTTGTTTCTATCAGTATAATTTCTTCTCTCTGTTTAACCAAAAGAGATGTGTCCACTGTATACCAAAACAAGAAGCTACAAAGTATAAAATAAAAACAAAAAATCCGCCATTATTTTGTATATCCCAGAAACAGTGTAGAGTTCTGGGTGCTCCATTTTATGGGCTATGCTAAAACTGAAACAATTCTTAAAAAGGAGTGATGAGGACAATGCAGGGACAAGACCATGACAAATGAGGGACTGAAGATGCTCAGGATGGAGGGAAAGGGAAACTGGGGGAAAAGATAACATTGCATATATTGTGCAATCAACTAAACAAGAACAAGAGGAAGAGTGAGTGATAAAGAAGGTAGCAGGCTACCTTTCCAGTGCACTGCAGGTGCTGTCCTGGCACGGAGAGGGAGGTCACAAACATGGTAAAGCAGCGAAGCAAGAAGACAGTGCCCATCAGACTGCAGAGCCTTCGCAGAAGGATTGACCTGTGAATAGAGCGACCAGAGAGGGGCAAGATCAGAAGAAAACATAGTAAAACAAAAACAAATCCCCAAAAAACAAAAAAAAAGCACCACCCCAACTGAGGCATCAAATGTCTACTTAATGGGAAAGCAAGCAGAAAACCACTAGACTTTTGGAAAAGTGTAGGAATCTTAGACACTACCCTAAAGCATCATCACCCAATCAACAGAATCCTGCAGTGACTGAAATGCTCTACAACTACACTGTCCAAGACGCTACCTGCATGTGGCTTTTGAACACTTGAAATGAGGCTATGTAATTGAGGAACTAAATTTAAAGTTTATTTTTATTCAAATTTTAATCACATGTGGCTAGTGCCTGCCATATGGAACACTCCAGACATAAATTAGATTCTAAAAGCATCAGATCAGTGATAAAACACAGCTCGAGAAGAAGTTTTACAAGATGGAAATAACACCTGAAAGCTTAGTCCTATTACTCATAAAATGTTGTGGCTTCGAATTATTTATTTATAAGATATAAAGTTAATCACTTGAGTCTAGAATTTTTTTGCTCATTAATAACAAATTGGTTGATGACTTAGCTAATATTCTTTTCCTAAAGTTCTAAAATTCTATTTTTTTTTAACCATAGGAAACATATAAAATTTATTAGATGGACTTAAAATCAACACAAATCAGGCACTTCTTGAATAAAGACTATGGGAATTTTCTACCAAAGAACAGCATTATCTAGCAGGCAATAACAGGAAAATTTAATCTTTAGTTTTTAGAACAATACGCAAGGGTTAGACAATTATAAGAAATACTGCATAAGCATCACAATGGTATCCTGTTACATTTCTTCACACTCCCACCACCCCCACTCTAAGGTTAAATTGAAAAAGTCACAGTTTAGCATTAAAAGTGCTAAATTCTAGCTATTACTCCACTATCATGGTCTTAAATTATTATACATTCTGATAGTTTTACTTTTGAGTAAGTAGAGCTTTAAAAGACATTTTCTATAATGTATCTGCATCTACACAGTCAATGCATAAAGTTGATTATTCCGATATTTTTAAAAATCCATTTCAATAGGTTTACTTTGTAAAAATAGGCTTCTTATTACTAATTCCTTTAGACATCTAATGGTGATATGTTCTTTCAGTAAACATAAAGGGGGAAAATGGAATAGGACAATGGATTACGGAAGTCTTTAGGTTAAATGCTACAAAAATACTAAATTTTTTAAAAAGTGTTTTATATTAAGTATATATGAAACAAAAATTTAGAATAACTATAATTCGGGTAAGAATGAACTGCACAGTGACATCCATTTGTACAATTAATTAATTAATTAAATTATTTATTTTTAGTTTTTTGAGGCAGGGTCTTCCCTTTGTAGTTCAGGCTGGCCCTGAACTCAATATGTAGCCCAGGCTGACCACGAACTTGTGGCAATCCTCCTGACTCAGCCTCCCAAGTGCTGGGACTACAGGCGTATGCCACCTTGCCTGGCTGTATTATTTATTTAAATGTCCAAACAGATTAAGATTCTTGGGGACAGAGACTTTTGTTTTTCAAAATAGTCCTGTCTCCCTCAAAAACAAGCACTGAAAACAGTGTTTGGCATGTTTCAAACTTCAGTGTGTACACTGGTGTAGAGCTTGGCATCTGCACTCTAACAAACCTCCCAGTGATTCTCAGAAAAGTGATGCAAGGCCATACTTTGAGAAATAGTTTCTTTGACTAAGTATATATTACCACTTCTATTTAACTGGCTCCTACTGTGTTTTGCTAACATGAAGGTTTCTGAAAATAGTTCCCTTTTTTTGTTTTAAAGTGTGGATAAGTTCAAATCTATGGGGCCCTGGGCCAGGGATTTAGCTCAGTGGTTCCACCATCTGCCTTGCAAGCACAAGGACCTGAGTTCGATCCCTGGTACCAAAAAAAAAAAAAAAATTTAGATCTTGGGCTGGGGACTTAGTTCAGTAGTGCTGGCACTGGCCTCTCATGTGCAAGGTCTTGAGTTCAATCCCCAGTACAAAAAAAACCCCACAACTATGGGGTCTTGTAAGGCAAAACTAACCAGAAAGCAACAGTAATACCACATCTGATTTTAAGCAATCTAGAATTTTAAAATATTTCTAAAAAAGAAAAATGTTATAAAACAATGTGTAAAACAAAAATATTATAAAACAAGACAAAATGGGACAGAAAGAGGCTCAATATGGCCTCAAAGTGTGATAAGAAAAGTCATCATCAACCTTTCTTTTCACATTGAAGTACTAAAATAGCTTCAGTTTAGGACTTAAAAGCCATCATATGGTCACCTCAGCACTTCAGATACAGAGAAAGGACTAAAAATTACAATAAAAGCCCTATTCCTCTCCAGAGTTCCAAAAACAATAAACAGCAATAACCACAAATTTTGCAGTTCTTCTACAAGCCTTAGTTTTTCCTCAAATCAAGTGATTTTCCCCAGAAAGTCTCCTCTCCTCTATGCTTCCCTTTTTTTATTTAAAAAAAATCCTTCTCTTTGTATTTCTTGGTGCCAAGAAGCACTTTCCCTATTTAGCGACTTCCTACACCATCTGAAGTAAAGTACACTGACTAGATGATCGCATGGTGTACAGATTAACTTCGTTTTAAATGGGCCTCTTTCAAGCAGAGAACAACTTCTTCCATGCAAACATCTGCCCAAACACTATCCTTGCAGGAGTTTAGAAACACTTCCAGTTTGTCTAAGAAAAATGAATGAATGAATGAATGAATGAATGAATGACAATGCCAAACTGCCAAGGGTTTATCCACGGTTGATCATCCCTAATTCTGATCTTTCCCTGCAAAACACATTCAGAATATTACTAAGTAGGTAAGTATTATTTTAGGCTGACATTTTTGGTGATCTAATCCCAAACATTTTCCTTTGCTAATAACTATAATGTCACATTGACCAAAAAAGAAAATTAACCAGAAAAATGTGAAGGCAGGGGCCACGGTTAGATGACCTGATGGAAGAGTCACAACACTTGGAGTCTTTTAATTTTATATGTAAGGTACCTGTGCTTGTGAAGAAGAAGAACCAGGAGCCAAATGTAGCAGAGAATCACACCGCACACTTCGGTCATGGCAAAGGCCCATGGGATTCTGGGAACACTGCAACAGAAAAAAATTTGAGCTCAAAGTAGATGCTACCCTTTATAGTAAGAGATTCTTCTAATAATAACTTTTACATTGCTTTATATCCTTTCTTTCTCAAAGGTTCTATGTGGAGATTCTAGGGAGAAAATCTGTTTCACAAAGCATCCTGCTCATCAGTTGTTTGTCATCTGTGATTCCCAGTCATGGTTCTCTGTGAAGAAGTAACATCTTTTCTCTTCCACCCTAAAGCACAGCAGACCTGGACACTGGACCTCCCACCAAGAATGGGAGAGGCCTGCTTCTTAAGTGATGTTATTTCAGAAGTCAGACAATGAAGACTTCAACTTGTCTTTTTAATATTTCTGTAGGTAGCCAGGCGTCATGGTGCATTCCTGTAATCCCAGCACTGGAGAGGCTGTGGCAGGAGGGACTGTGCTGGGTTCAAGGCCAGCCTGGGCTATGTAGTGAGACCCTGCCTTTAAAAAAAACTAAAATTCCATAAACGTTGAAAACTATGTATGTTACTTATATCATTTTTTTATAGTTTAAATTTTAGAAGTCATTTCAAAAAATTTGTAATTGGAAAATTTCTCTTACGTAAAACCACTCTTTTCCTGTGAAAGTCAGATAGATAAGGAATAACAGGTTTTGTTAAGAAGTAGAAAATATTTGTTTTGTTTTTGGTGGTGGGGGGGGGATCGAACTCCAGACCAGACCGTGCTGCGAGGCAGGGAGCTGTTTTGTTTTGTTTTTGAGACAGTCTCCCTATGCAGTTCAGACTGGCCTTGAACTCACTCTACAGCTCAGGCTGGCCTTGAACTCCCACAGTCCTCCTGCTTCAGCCTCCTCTGGAGGGCTGGAAGTACAGGCATGTGCTATTACCCCTGGCTCATTCTTGTTTTTAACTGTTTTCTGTCAGTCCTCCCTTGTTTTGTATCCCGGGTTTGCTTTTATCTTTTCTGTTTTGTTTTGTTTTGTACGGAGGAACTCAGGTCCTTGCACTTTCAAGGCAGGCAAGGTGCCACTGAGCTAAATCCTCCGCTCTTGCTTTTGTCTTTTCCATTTGTTACTCTTTTCCCCTTACAATCCACAGTTCCAGTGATTATGCACTAGTAAGATAGATAACACTGAAAAAGTGAAGTGGAGGAAAGATAAGGGAAGGGAGGACAGGGGTGCGGTTTAGGAAGGGAATAGAGAGAGGGGGAAGGAGGAAATAGTTCAAATAATCTCCAGTAGTAGTATTACTTTTGGCTTTATTTTTACTTTGTACTTTCTTTTTTTTTTTTGGTACTGGGGATTGAACTCGGGTCCTAGCGGCAGAACCACTGAGCTAAATCCCCGGCTGAAAGAAATGATATTAATGGTCTACTCCAAACTTTACTCAAGAGTAACTGAAAAGAGTTACTCATCTTCATTTAGGGATTTTTAGATCAGAAAGCATTTGTGTACTTTTAACTTATTCCTATCTTATTTACCCGGTGTTACTGAAGAGTTATTTCACATAACAGAAAATTTCAATTTTAAAATAAACACTTTCAAAAATAATACACATATATACAAAGATAAATAGTTTCCTAATGTTTATGATAAAAATAAGTCTTCGGTCCCTATTTCTAAACTAACCTTTTTCCTTCCTTCCTTTTTTGTTTTTTTCCAGAACTGGGGACTGAACTACTTCAATTCTTCACACTAAGCTACATCCCCAGGCCTTTTTATTTTGAGATAGGGTCTCACTAAGTTAACTGCCCAAGTGAGACCAGAACTTGGGATTCTCCCTCCTCAGCATCTCAAGAGCTGGAATTACAGGTGTGCACCACCTTGCCTGGGTAAACTAAACCTAATTCTTGTTACCCAAAGGCAATCATTTTTAATCTTCTAGCTGTCTCATCTGGCAGCTAAATCTTTTAGTCACATACTCCCCCAACACATGCTCACAGTCTCTTTTGCTCTTACTATTTCATAATCTTGTTTAAAATAGTTTTTGGCTTTTAGTTAATATAAAATATATAGGGGCTGGGGATTTAGCTCAGTGGTTCCGCCACCTGCCTTGCAAGCGGAAGGATCCGAGTTCGATCCCCGGTACCAAAAATAAATAAATAAATAAATAAATAAAAATAAAATAAAATATATAAAAATGTTTACAGTGGAGCCAGCAAAAGAACCATGATTAAATTCCTTCCTTGTACAACTTAAAAATCTGTGGAATAAATACTTATTTTTTAAATTTGCTGTTTTCTGTGTGCTTATCATCAATAATCCCCAAACTATTTTTTTATCAAACTGAATTTTTCTTGGAGAAAAACCTTGTGTTCTTTCTGCTCTTATTCCAATTTAGAATGGTTGCATTTTGTAGTTCTCTTGCATGGCTATTTCTCTGAGTAAAATTAACCTTCATTTTGGGAATTCTTCTTTGCTATATCAAATTTCGTTTCCTAAGCCCCATGTCCTCCTCTTTCCTAGTTTACTCTTTAGTTTACTGAGGCTACACACAGTAAAATTCACCTTTTAGCTGCACAGTTCGGTGAGTTTTGACACATAAGTGTAGCCTCCACCGTAATACAGATACGGAACATTTTCATCACTGCAGAAGGTTCTTTCCCTTGTGTCCCTCTCGTAATCTCCCTCCCCTCTAGTCCTGAGGCAACCACAGACCTGATTTCTGTCCCTGAAAGGCTGCCTCTTCCAGAATGGAATTGTACAGTACCTGCTCAGATAGTCTTTGTATCTGGCCACTCGCACTTGGCACAATGCAGGTGCGGTTCATCTAGATTGCTGCACATGCAGTTCTCCATCCACTAGCTGGCTGAGGGGTACCTGGAGTTATCTCCAGCATTCGGGGACTATGCATGAAGACCACATGCAGGTTTTGCATGGACATGTTTGTATTTCTCTTGAGTAAATACCTATGAGTGGAACGGTTAAGTTCTATCTTAAGAGTATGTTTAACTTCTTAAACTATGAAACTATTTTCAAAGCAGTTGTACCGTTTCACACATCTACTAGCAATGTATGAGAGTACCAGTTGTTTGGAATCCTCATCAGGACTGGGCACTGTCAGGTTTTTTCATTTTAGCAAGTCTAATAGGTGTGAGACAGGGAAAGTAATATTTTGAGACCTGCAAGTTTTTACACATGCTTGGTTTACAGCCTTACATCCAGCTGATGTTTACCTGGACTGAGAATGCTAGGATGGATATTATTTTCTCACATAACGTTCCATTTCTTCTTCTACTTCTTTTATTGAGACAGGGTCTCACTTTGTAGTTCAGGGTGACCCTGAGCTCATTATGTAGCCCAGGTTGGCCTCGAACTCCTGGTGATCCTCCTGCCTCTGCCTCCCCAGTGCTAGAATTACAAGTATGCACCACCACACCTGGCTCCAGCATGCTATTATTTGATTTCTTGATGGTGGCCATTCTTTCTGGAGTAAGATAGAATCACAGCATTATATTAATTTGTTTTTCTCTAATGGCTAGAGATGTTGAATTTTTTTTTTTTTTTTTTTTTTTTGGTACCAGGGATCCAACTCTGGACCTTGCACTTGCAAGGCAGGCGCGACACCACTGAGCTAAATCCCCAACTGGAATATTTTTTCATGTATGTATCTATTCATTTCAGTTGCCCTTTTTTTGACTGTCTTTTATTTTGGGGGGGGGGGTTCTAATTTTTGAGTTCTTTATATATTCTAGATACTGTATTAGTCTTCTGACCGAGGATTAGCTGTCAAAAAATTTTTTCAAATTCTGTAGGTTGTCCCTTCCCTTTGTTGGCTGTTTCTTTTGCTGTGCTGCAGCTTTTCCCAGCATCATCTGCCCAACAGGTCACCCTTCCTCCAGTGTGCATTTCTGGCCCTTTGTCAAGGATCAGATATGTGGTTTCTGCATCCTCTGTTCTGTCCCACTGACCCACACATCTGTTTTTGTGCCAGTGCCATGCTGACTTTACTGCTGGGGCTTTGTAATGTACCTTGACGTCTGGGATTGTGATGCCCCCTTTGCTCTTACTGCTCAGGATTGCATTCACTATTCTGGGTCTCTTCTGATTCATTATGAATTTTAAGATTGTTTTCTCTATTTCTGTGAGGAATGCTGTTGGTATTTTGATTGGGACTGCATTAAATCTACGCATCAGTTTTGAAAGTATGACCATTTTGACTATATCTAGCTGGGTGTGTAGCTATGCTATGTAGCCTGAACTACATGGCAAAACCCTGTCTCAAAACAAACAAGTAAATAAACAAACAAGACAATATCTAAGAAAAGGGGATACCTTCCCATTTTTGGATGTCCTCTTTGATCTCTTTTTTCAGAATACTATAGTTTTCATTAGAGAGTTCACTTGTTAGGTTAATTCATAAGAATATACTTTTTCTTGATGCTTGCATGAATGGCATTGTTTTCCTAATTTCTTTCTTGGTGGGTTCATTATTGGTGTACAGGAATGCCACTGATTTTTTTGTACTGACTTTGTATCCTGATGTTTGGTCATTCTTCACAGAACATACAAAATGAAGTACTAAAAAAGATAATTAGATGTTCTGTGTAATCAGATGTTCTGAGTACATGAACTAAGTGCTGTCACATTGTGGATTTCATGGCACAGTGATTAGGCAGAGGTCTGGTTGACTGGATAAAAGGATATCACTCCAGCAACAGTTACCTACAACCCTTTTGCTTGTGCAGGTTTTTCAAGAATCTGTTATTGTGGTTGGAGGACAGGAGGTGGGAAGAGATGAGGATGGGTTCTCAATCTGAAAGTTTCAGTGAAAAGTATGTACAAGCACTTGTACACTTTTAGTTAATCCTCTTGAAAACATGTCATCTTTGTTTTCATGGTGTCCATAGTGCCTCACAGGCAAATGCCCCTTGGAACACAGAAGGTCTATTAGCCTCTTAGATTTTTTTTTTCCTGGTACCTAGGAAGGGCTCCACTAGGTCCCATTGCTTTTTATCTACATAAGGGACAGGGCTCCAACAATAGCCTCTTACTTCTAACACCACTGCTAACCCCTCCCT